CAAGCTGAAGTCTACTTTCCCCAGATGAGACATCCTGATAACAAATAAAGTATAATCAAAAGGGGGGGGGGGAGAAAGTTCTCCATTGATCTCAAGATTGTATTTTCTATTACGTTTCTTCCACACTACATGATTTAAAACTTTAGTATGTAGAGGTCATGAGATCTTTGTGCACACAGATGAGCACTAGGGAAGGCAGGAAAGTTAAACCCATGGGTTTGTCTCCTCAAAGGATGCTGGGAATGGATGTAGTTTATAACCTGGTGATCTCTGCTACCTGTAGGGCCAGGCATCACCCGAATTCCCCAGTCTATCATGTTTGTTTATCCCAGACTTTCCCCCACTGGATCTTGAGCATTGCTTCTCAGTCAATAAAGAACATACATAAGAGAGATGCCACCTATACTTGATTACAACCTAGGTGACTTCTGTGTTATCTGAGGGCCAGGCCATCCCACAGGCATTATGTTTACCTCAGTCATTCCTCCTAGCCTGAGCATTGTTTGTAAGGCAACAGAACCCATCTTTCGGGGAGAGGCCATATGTACTTGTAAAGAGTTTCAGTATGAATGTATTTTAAGACTGAGTAAATTGTGTTGTGCTTAAATACAGCTAAAATAAACTGCCTGATTTATTAAACTCTAGAGGTTTGAACCGGCACCAGTTCCTGAGTCCTGTTGAACTGAATTTCCTTCTTGCCTCTCGTGATCGTTCTTCATCGGCCGTAGCATTTGCAGAGACCCCCACATTAGTAGGGCTGGGCACTTGGTGGAGTGGCAGAGTACTTACCTGGTGTGTTTAAAGGTCTGGGTTCAATCCTAGGTACTACAGATAAACAAATAAAACCCTATTAAGACTCAAAGGATTGAGGCAACTATTGGAGTTAGTTTAATTCTTCCTCTTTTCTTCTAAAGAGTTATTTTTATTGTATGTGTATGTTTTGCCATCATGTATGCTTTGTATATGTCTGTTACCCTCGAAGGCTGTTGGATAGATGGTTATAAGCCGCTACGGGTGTGGTGAACAAAACCCCAGTCATGCAAAAGCATTAAGTGCTCTTAACCCCTGAGCCATCTGTCTAGCCCCCAAATTAATTCTCTTTTTAAAAGTGTTTTGGTGGGGCTCAGTGGTTAAGAGCACTGTCTGCTCTTCCAGAGGTCCCGAGTTCAATTCCCAGCACCCACACCGTGGCTTACAACCATCTATACCCTCAACTGCTCTCTTCTAGCATGCAGGTGCATATGCAGATAGAACACTAATATAAATGCATAAAATAAATAAATAAAATCTTTAAAAAAAAAAAAAGTGTTTTGGTGGGCTCGCAAGATGCCCCAGTGACGAAAGATACTTGCTACCAAGCCTAATGACCTGAGCTCAATCTCCCGAGCATCATGGAAGGAGAGAACCAATTCCTGAAAGTCCATTCACGTGTGCCATGTTCTCATACACACATCACACACATACACATAAACAAATTTTTTAATTTAAAAATGTGTTTGAAGCAGAATCATAAATCGAAACTCTGCAAAGATGCCAGGGTGTATGACTGTTTCTTTAAATACTTTGTGCTCATAAAGCTGTGTCTGTAGATTCTAACTTCAGAATATCACAGTGATGTTCAAACAACACCCCCAAATCTATGCCGACTATTTTTAGTGTACATAACTTATTGGATACCTGCTTAATAAGATCTTCTGTCTGAACATTCCTTGTGACTCATAGAGCATGTTCCTATAAATGCTCTCATTTGTGGTTGACTCAGCCTCTCTAATTCTGATTTAACTCAGTTAACCTATTTGACCCATGCTTTATTTATTCACCTGTAAAGTGGGGGTGAACCATAAGGTTTTTACCAGTTGAGACTATTTATGTAAAGAGTTTAGCAAATAACAAGTTGCCAGTGTTAGGTAGAGCGTATTACTAAACAAAATAAAGAAACGTGAAAGTGCCAACCCAGGGAGAATGCATGAGAAATACCCAAGTGACAAAAAATTACAACTGACATTTGAGGTATTGTTAAGTAATATCTTTTTGGGGAAATGGTGCTTGGGTTAGGATTAACGTAAATGACTTTTCATTTATCCTGAGATTTTTTTTTCCCTTCCCTTTGTCACAAATGATACTTTTCCTTTGAAGTAAATTTCCCCCCTGTAGTCTAAGCAATAAAAGAAAGGACACCTTGTATATGCAGTGACCTCATCAGACCAGGACACAGAGGTCAGGTGTCCTGCCCACCCTCCCCACTTCCGCCCAACCACATGTGATTCAGATGTCTGTACCCTTTTACGTTGACGGCTTGGCTCGAGACCTTGGAGCAATCACTGCTGGGTTGGCAGGCCTCTCTGAGAACACAGGAAAGGGAGCAAGGTGGTGCCAAGGACAGACATCAAGCCTTTAAGGCTCAGGATGCCTGTGGAGTGGGCTGCTCTGCATCGCGGTGGATTCTTGCCTAGTTTTCCTGTGGCCTCCCGTGTTCCTTTCAACTCTTGTTACAATACATAACACCTCAGAGTCCCGCTTTGGGAAAGTCTCTGAGGTCTTCAGAGAGGAGCTTGACTCCTGCCCCAGCCTTCTGCAGGGGTCTGTAAGCTTAACGTGTCTGGGTGTGTCCCTCCCAGGTTGCTGATTTTAGCCTTATCCCTTCACTGTCACTTCTGTCGTGTCAGGTGTTTGACATCTTGGTTGTTCTTGATTCTCTTTCTCTATTGACGTGTTACTTCCTGCCCAACAGTGTGATGTATGTCTGAGTGTCAGGAGAACCCAATTGGACAGTCCACTCAGAACATGTCATATGTTGATTCATGCATGTGATGGGCCCTAGATTAACCAGTGAACCAAGTTCACTTTGGAGCCCCAAGGTAGCACGTGGAGTTGAGCCCGGGCAAGGAGTGAGGGGATCTTTGTATGGCCACTAGTGAGTTTAAACAATAAAACAAGTCATTTGAATTTAATAGTATCCTTCTCTTTAGATGGATTAGATCAAATGTTTCCCACTGTGTGTGTGTGTGTGTGTGTGTGTGTGTGTGTATACATACACATATATATCATATATAGATACACACTCACAAAGCGTATATATGATATCATTATGTATAATACCACACACACACATATACACACACACACACACACACACGATATCACATATATACATGGTATCTATCATGCCCTGTAGGTGCTCACAGTTCTCAAGGGAGAGAATGCAGGCCCACAGATGACCCCCACAGTAGGTAGGGGAGGACCTGACCCCCGAGAGTGACACATTATAAATGCCTTATATGTGAAGAAATGTGTGAGTACCTTTGCAGTAAAGTTGTACTGACTATTCTCGCAGCTACATAAAGAGGTAGATTTCATGACCCTCACCAGCATCAGGTATATGGAAGATTTTCAGAATTTGCTAATAATATACTGTGTCTTTCACTGGAACTCCTTCGATATAAACTGAACATTGAGTGTGGACATTTGTATACCTGTGGGAGAGTACTACTGAACAATTTCATATCCTGAGAAAGCAGTAGAGTAATCCTCCCTAGTTCTTGTCTGTGTTTGCAACTCAGAGCCTGAACATTTCATCAAGGTCACAGCTGAGGACACCGTATACTTCAAAGTTGTTCATATTTGCAGCTTAAAAATAAGCACTTGTTAACATTCTTCCTGGCAGGATTGCTATTGAGGAAACTTTGGCTTCTATTACTGTGTAAACTCAGAAAACAGAAACATCTGCTCTCCTTTAAACAATTTTGTCATTGGAGTTTTCCTTGAAAGTCTTATTTAATTCCAAAGTTCTTGGGATTTGCTGTGATTTCAAGTAAATGAGATATCAGATAGGATTTTAGACACCTCGTAGCAGTGTCCGACTTAAACAACCCCGAATTGTCACAGTCTTAACTACAGCACGTCTTTGTTCCCACCTGAGGTCCCCTCTCACCAGCCTTGGTGTGTAAGCTGGAGGTCTCTCCTGCCCAGGCCTAGTGAAGGCACTGAGGAGGGGTCATATGCTAAAGAAGCACTAAAGAGAGAAGTCAACCCTGAGCTCCCCTCCCCCAAAGCTGATGGGACAGCCGCTCTCTGCTTCTTCAGCTTTACCGGGTGTGTGCATGCGTAGGTACATAAGGTACAGTGCATGCACAGGACAGTGCATGCATAAGGTATAGTGCAAATATAAGGCATGGTGCATGTATAAGGCTGTATGTCTTTTCAGTAAATGCTAGAAGTTATTACCAGGTTTTTTCATGATTACTCTAAACTTACAGGACATCTTAAAGCAATGCATCTATTCTGGGTCTGTGTAGTTTCACAGAAACGTAAAAAACTTTGAGTAAAGTTAAAAGTAGCAATGACATAAAGAAAAGGTATAGCAAAGCCTATTAATATTGCTAACTAACTTTCATTTTGTTTACATAAGAAAGAAGTTTCACTTCTCATGATGATTGCAAAATTGTATTTGACATTTGACTTTCAGTTCTTTCTGTCTATCCCCAGAAATAGTCACAGGCTACATTTGACTAGTCAGGATCTATAGAAACAAAGATGGTTTGCTGCTGTTGGGGAGCTGCAGAAACTCATGCAGTTTCTCACCTTGACCCTGGGTCATTCCCTGGTTATTCCCAGGATACTTGATGTACCGTGTTGGCTACTTATACAAGGTGCCTGGGAAGGTGCCCCACGTGCAGGACAGGGATACTTTTCTAAGGGGGGAAGTGAGTTCAACAGTTGTCTAGAATGCATAGGAATGGGGAGGTAATTGGGTGGTGCTTCTCCTAAGGTGGCACCTATTATGTCAATGGGACCTCATATGTCTACTTTTGGTTTTGGATTGTTTTGTTTCGGTTTTTGAAACAGGGTCTCATGTAACCTAGGTTGGCTTCAAACTTGTGTATAACCTTGAACTCCTGATCCTCCAGGATTTTTAATAATTGTGTCCGAGTTGAATAATCCCAGACAGCTCTCTGGCTTCACGTTTGTGACATAATGCTAAGTTTTCTTTTCTTTTCCAGATACTTACTGGAGCAAGACTTCCCAGGCATGAGAATTGGTCCCGAGCCAACCACAGATTCCTTCATTGCTGTGATGTACGGGGAGACAGAGGGAAGCACCCCCGGGAATGCTTTAGTTGTGGATCCCAAAAAACCATTCCGAAAGCTCAGTCGCTTTGGAAATGCTTTCCTGAACAGGTAAGGACCAGCAAGCTGCCCACTGGCCAGGCTAGTACAGCTTTTTTCTTTGAATTATTGCCTATCACCTGTGGAATCCAAACAGCAGGGCCATATCTGTTCTGGAAGAGGAAAGTGTGTTGGGGGGGGGGGGTGCTAATCAATCATATTTCACTCTCATCTGTTCTGAGTGATTTTACTGGGTATAGCTGAGGCCCAAGAATGGACGTCACAGCTGCCCAGTTTGAGGACAAATGACTAATAACTTGATTGGTCCAGAAATAGTTCAGGTTGCCCAGTTCCTGTCACTAGTATCAAGTAGCTGTGGGATAGCCACCTCTCAGGTATAGTGTGCAGGGCTTCCTACACTCGGCAGGTTTAGCCCAGAGAATACGTCAGGCCCCCTAACGTCCAGATTTGGTCTTTTGATTTAGGACAGGTTGCCCTACCTTCCTGAATGTTCCTTTGACTTTTCATTCCTATGCTTTGAGCTCCTTCTTTATTCCTTGGAGCAGGGCAAGGTTAAATAGAGCGAAAACAAAAAGTTAGCTTACATTCATTGCTGTTATTTTCTAGACACAGATGGATGTGGGCTCCTCTGCCTTGATGGCAGGTGTGTTTTGTTTGTGCCCTGACCCCTGTCGTCCTTCAGCAGATTTCCCTGTGCGTCCGAAGTGGGGTGGGGAGAAAGAATGGCAGACTTTTCTGCTGCAGCTCTGCAGTAGGATGAGATCTCTGTTCCACTGTGTTCCTCCCTCCTTCCCACCTTTCCTTCTCTCTCCCCTCACCCAACACTTTTTCTTTCAGTTTTACTTTTTTAATTATTTAGTTCCTTTAGTTCTAATTCATATAAAAGAGAACATGAAATTCTTTTCTTTTTGTATCTAGCTTATTTCATTTAACATGATACCCTACAAATGACAGGATTTTATTTTTATGTCCAAATAACACTCCATTGTATATGTAAGTATCACATTTTTTTCTTCTCTTTTGTACTCTTTTAAACATAGGGCTTCCCATGTGCTCTAACACTGAGCTATATCCCTTGTCCTCCTTTCACTTTTTATGCAGTGGGTGCCAGGCTTGTTGCCCAGGCTGGCCTTGAACTCACTCTGTAGATGAGGCAGGTCTTGAACTTGAGTTCATCCTGCCTCTGTCTTCTAGTAGCTGAAACACAGGCCTGACTACCATATTTTCTTATCTTGTCCTTTGTTGATGGGCACCTGGCTGCTTTCATATTTTAGCTATGAACAGTGCCACAATAGGCATGCCATGCAAGTACCTTTGTGCATTCAATTTGATTTTCTTCGGGTATATTATATACACAGGAATGAGGTAGCAGGTAACAGGTAGTTCTTAGTAATTTGAGGACACTCTATGTCTTCCATGGTGACTGCCCCACCTGACATTCATCACAGTGTCTAAAGGTTCCATTCTCGTCCACATCATCACGAGCATTTTAAATAATATCCATTCTAACGGGGGCAAGAGTGGGATCTCATTATAGGTTTGATTTTTTTATTTCCCTGACGGCTAATGATACTGAGCATTTTTTTCATGTGTTTAACTGACATTTTTTTTTATTTCTTTTGAGATCATTTAGCCATTTTTTATTGGATTACTGGTTCTTTGGGAATTAGTCTTTAATTTTGAGTTTGTTAAGCCAAGCGGTGCTGGTGCACGCCTTTAATCCCAGCACTTGGGAGGAAGAGGCAGGCGGAACTCTCTGAGTTTGAGGCCAGCCTGGCCTATAAAAGAGTTTCAGGACAACCAGGGCTACATGGAGAAATCCTGTCTCAAAAACAAAACAAAAATTTGAGTTTGTTATATAGCCTAGATTATCAATACCCTGATGAATATTTTTCTCATTATGTAGGTTGTTTTTCACTCTTTGATTGTTTCCTTTCTGTATAGAGACTTTTTAGTTTGATGTAATGCTATTTGTCAATTTCTGTTTTGTGTGTATGTGTGTGTGCTTTTAGTCTTATTGGGAAAATTACGTTCATGGTTGGGAAAATTAATATTGTTTAAAATGTGTTTATTAAAAAAAAAACAAAACTCTTTCTCTGCTTTCCTGCCATTCCTCCACATTCCTCTTTTTCCTCTTTTCTGAGTCTGGCTTTATAAAATGGGGGCCAGCAATCAGCGAGAACTAGAGGGCCAACTCCAGCTGCTTAGGGAGAGGAAGTAGTGCTGGCACTGAGGCTCTGCCGGAGACCTGAGATCACTTCTCCTTTCTAGATGTTTCTAAAAATAAGAGCAAGCCATCCCTCTTACTGCTGCCTGTCCAGAGCCTAGGAGACTCCATTTGTGAGGACTCTGGAGTGAACGCTTGGACAGTGGCTGTGCTGAGAGCCCAGGCAGCCTCCAAGGTTCCTCCAATGAGCAGAATCCTCCTTTAAAGGCTTTCAAATGCAAACCAAAGAGAGCACCTGAAGGGGGTAGCAAGAGAACTTGGTGGTGACTCTGGCAGATGTGTGCAGATGTAGATGGAGTCAGAGCTCTTTTTTTTTTTCATTTTGTATCCCAGCTATAGCCCCCTCCCTCACCTCCTCAAAGTTCCCCCCTCCCTCCCTCTTCTCCTCCCATGCCCCTCCACTAGTCCACTTGATAAGGGAAGTCCTCCTCCCCTACTATCTGACACTAGCCTATCAGGTCTCATCAGGATTGATTACATTGTCTTCCTCTGTGGCCTGGTAATGCTGCTCTCCCCTCAGGGGGAGGTGATCAAAGAGCCAGCCACTGAGTTGATGTCAGAGACAGTCCCCTTACTAGGGAACCCACTTGGAGACTGAGCTGCCATGGGCTGCATCTGAGCAGGGGGTCTAGGTCCTTTCTGACTCTGAGATTTCTTGTTACAGCCATTAGAATGGCGAAGATCAAAAACTCAAGTGTCAACACATGCTGGAGAGGATGTGGAGATAGGGGAACCCTCCTCCATTGCTGGTGGGAATGGAAACTTGTACAACAACTTTGTAAGTCAATCTGGTGCCTTCTTAGAACATTGGGAATAATGCTACCTCAAGTCCCAGATATACCCACTCCTGGGCAAAAATCCAAAAGATGCTCCACAATACAACAAGGACATTTGCTCATCTATGTTCATAGAAACTTTATTCATTCTTGTTTCTAACAGTAACTAACAGAACTCTGTCCAGATGACTTCCCTGCAGAGTCTCTTCTTCAAGAGGGGGTATGCCTTAACTCCAGAGCTGCCATGGGTGGCGGCTTCTCCTTGTACAGAGGTTAAACGTAGGACCCCAGGAAGAACACAAGGTCTTGAGGGGTTCAGGACAAAGTGAGTGAACCAAGTTCAAGGAAATTGACCACACACACACTCCAATCAGGTGCTTTCTGGGAGCACAGGACGTGGGGCAAGCAACAATCAGTCTTGTCCATCACTGATGTACATAGAGGCTGAGACACAGCACCATTCTCCCGGAAGGTTGCTTTAGAATTCTAGCATTCATTGCCCTTGCCTTTTGTGTGTGGGTGCTTTTTATTTTCCTGACAAACTTTAAGGAGAAATAAGCTGACTTTTTTTTCAAGTTCTCATTTAGCAAAGTCCACACTTTTAAAGGAATATGTGGGAAAAATGGTTATTGGTTTGTTTTACTCTGTCAAATAATTTACTTTTGTAAAATATCAGTGTGTTTTAAATCTCAAACTTAGAGCAGATGAACATGGAAGGAAAATACAGAGGGAAGATTTTGAATGTCAGGGTTCACTTAGAATTTAAATGTGCTGAAAATAATTCATGCATTGTATAGTCATGCATTAATTCAGTCTGGGAAAATAGAAAAACAAAAACCAAACAACTATAGCATATGTCCAGCACTGTTCCAAACTTTACTTGTATATACAACATGGAAAGCTGAGATATATCGACTTAAAGTCCTTATGAATATGTGTGACGTGGCTGCTACTATTACTCCCAAGCAGTGATGAGGAAGTGATGAACAGCAAGGGTAAGATAGTGCCTTGGGGCAGTATGAAGATTGGAACCCGGGCCATCTGGCCTCAATCCTGGAGACCACAATGCTGAACTGTCCGGTGGTGCAGTGTTTAAACTCTGCCTGCTGCCCCCATTTAACTCTAGGATGACACTGCAGTGAAGACAGTGGAGAAGATACTCTCTCCCAGAGCATAGTTCACATGATTTTATCAGCACTGTGCTTGTGGGGTTAGTAGAGAATATAATGGCCAGTTCACAAGTAAGAAAACTAGAGGTAAAGAGGTGATTTGCTGAAGAAATGGCCATCAGAAAGAGGCAAAATTCAGGTTTCCCTTTTCCTACCCTTTGCCACCCCGTGCCCCAGCACAGTCTGTCAGCAATGTCTGTCTCTCAAGCCGTTCTGGTAGCTGTGCGCGTGTGAGGCTCACAAGTACAGGATGTGCCAATGGGAAGCCACCGTGCTGATAGCCCAGTTACATGGTGTCTGCATAAGGGAGAGCGTCAGTTAGGGTGGGGCATTCAAACTTACGTGTGTGATTGTAGCCACCCTCTGGGATACAGCAGGGTTAGCGTCAAAGGCGGAACTCTTAGCATGACGCACTTTTTCTGGAAACTAGGTCAAAATGTAATAGGAAGGAAAACCATTTGTGTTCTGGGTAGAACTTTCTCCCCAGGTCTTGATGACAGGGATCTCTCGTAGCTTTAGCCATCGCTACCAAGGGCATTTTTAAAAGAGTTAAGTACCTCCTAGGGTGAGTAAAGACAGGCGGTGCCTGTAGGGTGACGCCACCTTCCCCATTAAGCAAACCTTGGGGACCTGAGTCCCCTAGACTGATTGTTGAGAGGCTAATGAATCAGTGGTACATTTCAGAGAAATGGAGATGAATCCTGAAAAGGCAGGATGAATTAGGAAACAGCATACGTGAACAATACAAGGAAGAGTTAAGTCTAGAACAAAAAAAAAAAAAAAAAAAAAAAAGAGTTTTAAAAGGTTTTAAAAATCAGCGTCTCACATTCCCTCTGCCAAGATGCTTCATCTGAGAGAAACCTCACTGCACCCCATTTTGGAGCTGTGCCAAGGAGCTGATATCCCAGCATATATCAGGGGGCAGTTCATCTCGCAGAAAAGGAACAGACACTGCCCATAGCACCCCACATATGAGTCCTGAAAGACACTGATGTCTCCAGTTAGTTCCAGAAGTAGCAAAGATTGTGGCCTGACACTTTCCTCTGGCAGTATAAATTAGGTGCTATGCGTTTCCCTCAGCTCGCTTTTCTAAAAAACGACTTTTTGGTTTTGGTTTTGTTTTGTGTGGTGCAGGTTGGAGTAGGGGCACGTTTCAAGACTTCAAGACAAGGTTTCTCTGTGTAGCCCTGGCTGTCTGGGAACTCGCTCTGTAGACCAGGCTGGTTCTGCCTCTGCCTTCTGAGTGCTGGGATTAAAGGCGTGCACCACCACTGCCCGGCTTGTCATTGTTGTTTGTTCTATTTTTATTTTAAATATATGGATATTTGCCTATATGTGTGTTTTTGTACCACATGGGTGCCTGGTGCCAGCAGAGTCCAAAAGTCTTTGGATCCCCTGGAACTGGAGTTATAGTCACCATCTGGGTTCTGGGATTCAAACCTGAGCCCTTTAGTAGAGCAGCCACCAAGCCATCTCTCCACATTGCAAACCATTGCTCCTGATTGACAGCCGCTTGTGTGATTTTGGTTCTGGTGTTTTAGAAAATGCACCTTTTCCCCTGGGTTTGGGCAGATACTTCTAGGGTAGCATACTGCTCCTGGCTTTCCTCCATGGCGGTCAGGAGACAGGCATTTATGTAGTCTAGAGGTGAACATTACTTCTCACTGACACTAAAGTTAGCCGTTTATAGCAGGGCTTTGTAATCATTTAGTTGTCTTTTTGTAGATTTTCTACTTATAGGATCTTTGGGTTTACACTCTTGCTAAAGCAAGTAAGATCAAAGGAAGTCCTTTGAAATTGCTTCATGCTCCCTTCCTGTTATGACTTGAGCTGAGTGACAAGCCTGGCAGAGTTGCTTAGAGAGGCTTAGAGACCTATGCAAGTGATACTGCTCACAGCAGCATCTCCTGTCTCTTGTTCACAACCACCTAACTCTCCACACCATTAGGTAGAATACAGGCTGTCCATGAAAGCTGAAGGGCAATGGCATATCAGTCCTTTGTTGCAGGATGTTGCCCTGATTGTGGTAAAGACACTTAGCAGTGATTCCAATGTGTACAATGATAGTAGCAGCCATATAGTTAAGACCCAACTCCGACTGCCAGCTTACATCTCAGCTCTGTCACTTGTCACCAGTGGGCTATGGCAAGTGAGAGCATGCCATGTAGCCCTCCCCAGTCTGCCCGTTTGTAAGGCCTCTCAGATTGCAGTAAGGATTTAATTCATGAACATATAAAGTAGAGCAAGCCTGACATGGGGTCAGAGATTAGTCAATACTGCTATTGTTATTATCATAATTACTACAAACCTTGCTGTTCCATTGAAAAACCAAAATCAGAATTAAGGTGCTGGCCAGTTATTTTAAAAGTCTAGTTTTTGTTTTGTGCTAAAAAAAAAAAAAAAAAAGTCACATGTAGCCCAGCCTCAAACTCAGTATGTGGCTGAAGATAACCCTGTCTCCCGAATGTCCCCAGTCTACCTCCCAGATCTCCCAGGCGCTTGGATCACAGATGTGACTCACAATTCTCAGCCTACAAATTTAGTTTTTTGATTCTTAAAAAACAAAACAACAGCAACAAAAACAATTTATTTGATAGAAGGGGGTCATACTTGCTACTGTGAATGTGTGGAGGTCATAGAACAACGTGTGGGAATCAGTTATCTCTTTTTTTTTTTTCCTTCCATGTAGGGCTAGAGGATTTGAACTCAGGTTATCATCAGAAATGGCTGTAAGCACCTTTACCTGCTGAGCCATCTTGCCAACCCAAATTTGTTTGTTTTTCCAATTTTATTTTTTCAACTTTAATCGTTAACTTAGAATTTTAACTTTTGTAGGCAATTTTAAGTAACTGATGCTCTTACCACCTTGTTTCTGTGAGGCAGAGCTAGTGACCTGCTTGTGACCTTATGATCCCTGCCATTACTTCATCCTTTGCCCTTTTGCTACCCTTGACTTTGCCTAGACATGGAGGGAATGTGGAGTTGGGGTCCAGGGAAGGATCTTCATTGTTTCCTTTTACCTTGGGAAACAAAATTCATCAGGTCAGTGGGAGGGTCCTATAGGAGCTAAGAGAGGCCCTGATCTCTGCAGCACATCTGCATTTTGTGTGAGATAGAGGAGGCCAGGTGTCGGCACTGATTTAGTCACACCAGGAAAGAGCAGGAAATCCATCTTGGGACAGAAAACTCTCTGCTCTGAAATGTTCCAGCAGAAGCCTGCGGCTGCGCACTCCCGGCTTGTCCTGCTGTGAGGGGCACGACAAATCTTGCCTTTCACCTTCCTTTCCCAGAGTGGAAAGGTAAGTGGTAATTGCCATTATGACAATGGTTAGGGGCTCCTGATCACAGTAGAATGCGGTTTTAGGAACACGCCTCTATGTGTAGACTTCACCTTGCAGTACCTGCCGACGCTCCATAAGTACCCAGTGCCTGTTGTGCTCTCTGCCCTCCTGCCCCTGCCCCGCCCCAGACAGCTTCTGTGATGGACTGGAGCCCAGCCCTGCACACACAGCCTCAGCAGCCCCTTCTCTGGTGCCCCCGGAGCCCTGCCAACCTCCTTTTTCATCCTTGCTGCTGTTTGGAGATAGCTCCACCGTACAGCCTCTTCCTCTGGCTCACACACCTGACCTGAGAGCTGTTGCATGTTCTTGCCGTACATTCCAGGCGTAAGCAGTGCAGGGATTTTTAAGTCCCTCTGTTAGACTCACACTGAAATCTATTGACTGGAGATTTTGGAAAAATTGGTACTGAGTGTGAGCTTATAGTTTTGCAGAAACAGCGTCCATCGGGGAACAGTTTGTGTAAAAAGGTTTTACAGAGGTACAGCATGTTCAGCCTTGCCAGCTGTCTTGGGACTGACTGAGAAGAAATGGTATCCACCGAGTTGTGCTCAGAACTATGCTTCTCCCCCAGTTCTAGAGAGCAGACTGGTAATAGTTGAGTTTTCCCTGGTTGCTTAACAGTGATTAGTGTCCCCTGTGTGCTCTGCTCATATTGGGCAGTGGGGCCTAGGGTACAAGAGGGGCCAGAGAAAAAGATGAATGAAAGGTTTCTCTGACATATACTTGGCTTTATTTTTTAACATTGTGGAGGTTTTCAACTTCATGCACTGAGTTTACTCGGTTGACTACAGTATACTAGCCTGTAGTCTCCTGCTAGCCACGTGTTATTGCAGGGCCCCATGATGCCCTAACTGCTCTGCGCTTCAAAGAGTTGCCTTGCCTCCTTATCTTGGGCTGATTTGGAAGTACAGAAAAGAATGTGTGAGTATCTGGTCCTGAGTCCCTTAAAGGACAGTCCTCATCAGTGCCAGCGATGGCACCTGGATGCCCTCCCCTGCACAGGGGGCTGGTCTGGCCACAGCTGTGCATTCCCAGCATACTTACTTTCTGAGTAATCCCCACCATTTCCACTGACTGGAAGAACTGAGCTGTTCCCAAGTGTTTTCAAGCCTCTGTCCACACAGATACAGAAGTTAGGCACTTTTAAAACAGGAAGAGGAGAGGCACTCTGTTTCCCCCTTAAAACATACACAGACTTAACAAAGATTCAAACCAGGCTCTTTGCCTGGGGTGGAAGTAACAAAGTACTTCCTGCTATTACTCATTGGTTCGAAATGGGAAAGCTCCCAAGGACACGGCAGATTCTAGTTTAGTTGCCTCACTGTACATATAAGGAAACTGAGGCCCACAAGGAAAGGCCTTGTCTAAGATCTCAGGGAATTACTGACAAAGCCTGAACAGATTCTGAGCCCAAATCTGCTAGAGCACAAGTCAAAAATTTCCTTCCATCCCATGCCTTCCCAGTTGTTTGAGCAGATTATTGGAAGCAGAGCAACAGGGACCCCGGTCAGAAGGAGGAGATGGTAGCAGGCAGCAGAGCCCAGGAAAAAGGCTTGAAGACAGAGGTCAGTCAGGCTCTCTGCTGACTCTGTCCCCTCACCTGTTCTCAGAGCACCTCTGGGACTCCTAAGCATCTGAGAGGTTATATTATCCAGAAGTACCTACCCTTTGCTGAGCTTGAAGCACAGGATCTTGAATCAGATGCTGGGACACTGGGTCATAGAAAGGGACACCAGCCCCAGGACCTCTAGCTGTCTGCACAGCAATAGATAGTATAGGACAGACTCAGATACTCTGGCTTAGGAGAAGTGCACTCTGAAAGAGGCAGCAAAAACTTAGGATGATAGGGTAAGGAGGTAGGGACAGGAGGCTCAAGGGGGTAGGTGTCAGGCTTAGTTTAAGGCCCAACCTCTCAGAGACTCACTGAAGGATGTTAGGGATCAGAGTAGGTGATATCTGTAAAACGCCCAAGTGCTTGATAAATATTAACTAAAACCACAGTTAACAATAAGGGATCAATGGTCAGGTAGAAATGGGTTGCAGCCTATTTCCCACATCTGTCTGTAGAGAAGTTGTCATCAATTTCCTCCAAGTCCCTGTTTTACAGTCCACTTCATAGGCATCTTTAGACTGTGTCTATCTCCTCCATATCCTCTTTACAGACATCAGTGAATGGAGAGCCCAAGGAGTCCACAGTTAGAGACTTCTGCAAGGTCCAGGTCCTGGCCCCAACTTTGTTCTGTCTCTTCCAGGTTCATGTGCTCGCAGCTGCCCAATCAGGTTCTGAAGAGTATCAGCATCATCGACAGCCCCGGCATCTTGTCTGGAGAGAAGCAGCGCATCAGCCGAGGTCAGTGCCCCTCCCACCCTCTTCAGAGCTATCTGAGGCCCCTCAGCTACAAGGAGAGCGTTTTTGCTCTTGTCCCATTCTTCCCATCCTCCAGGACAGCCACAGCCCAGGGCCTCCTGCAGTATCCTAGGCAGCCAAAGAAGACCCAAGAAGTAAGTAAGGAGGTCTCATAGGTTCTGCCATTTTAGCTAGTATCCAGCTCAGATGAACCTCCAGCATTCGAGAGGGGAATACCCTTGGTAACTGTTCACCTAGACACATGATTTTACCCAGAAGCCCACGAAGCATCTTGCCCAGTGGAAACTTTTACTAGGCAGACTATCCTGTGCTTGGGAAAACACAGCAGAAGCAGGCGTGGTTTCTGTCCTTGAGGAACTAAAAACGAAGCAGGCATTCTTCATGTTGTCACAGAACTAAATGGGGATTGGGTGAAACGCCGAGAACTGCAGCCCAGCACCCGTGGATGAGGGAGACTGGTCTGGCGCAGGAGTGTGGAAAGAGCCACCCCTGAGGCTGTGACATTTGAACCAGGATCTGAAGGATGAGTAAAGATTACTCACAGGAAACTCTGACGTGGAAAGGGTCTATATGTAGGAAGATCAGAAAGTGCTCAGACAGTGGCATGAGATCCATAGCCTTTGGCAGACAAGGCCATGCTTGTCTTCAGACCTGGGCACTGTGGATTCAACAGGTATACTGTCTTCTGGCCCCACTTCCAGAGAAGAAGGGTCACGGGGAAGATCCAAGGACAGCAATGTAGAGGAGAAATGCCTGGTCAGGAGAGTTCAGGTTAGATCCTGAGGTTATAGCTGTGAGGCTGGTCAAACGAGCCCACCCCTGCACTGACCGCCCTTGGAAGGGAAGCATGTTTCTGAGGTGCTCTGCTGCTGCCACTTCCTGCTAATCGCCTCACAGCCCTTTGCGCAGCATGCCAGTGAAACCATGCATGCCAAACCTGAGAGGCAGCAGCCAGCCATGAGCGTGACCAACAGTGAACTCCTCACCGTCCAGGAAGCAAAAGCATAGTTGCTCAGTCCATGCAAGCTGCTTGCTGGCGCTGAAAGAGCTTCTTCAGCCAGTGACCCTTCTTCCTCTGGCCTTCGATGGACACACAGAGAGTGGGGTCTGCCTGAGCTCAGGCCTTCCCAAGGCTCGTCCTGTGGTTCTTTACTGTTCTGGCAGGAATACTAACAGAGCCACTAGCTACCTTGAGTCTTCACAGAATCTTAGAGAAAAAGGAAAAGACAAAAAACAGTCTTACATTGGTCTTCTCTCATTAAGATCCTTGTTGTTTTCTATTATAAAAATCATAGAGTGTGGAGAAACTCACACAGTCAACAGGTCTCCTACATACCTAAATACATAATTTCTCACCGTAATGAATGGACCAGAAACATTTTCTACAGCTGACATTTTGCCATAATTGTCTCCATGGGCTTAATGAAAGGAACATATGTATTTTACTTAACTAATAATGTGGCTGTCAGAGTGTGAACACTTTTTCATTCTTACAAGAGAGCATTACAGGCTTTTGTTGGATAATATTTATGCATCTGTGTAGCTCAGTGCCCATAGATGATTTTGTTTTGTTTCGTTTGAGATAGGGTCTTATGTATCTGAGGCCAGTGAGACCCTGGCTCAAAAAATGAGGTAGATAGCACCCGAGAAATGAAAGCCAAAGTTATCTTCTGACAGCCACATGCATGGGCAACACATGCCCCTATGGAATTGCACACACACGCATGCCAGTTGGGACCATTAGTCAGAAAGGCTGGTGTAATGTCTTGTTTGCCGGGGAGAAAGCAAATTCCATAATTTTTCTGAGTTGTCCCAGTTTACTGCTTCTCCATGTCTTAAGTATTTAAGTATTCTAGAGGAATATACAACCCTGATAAAATTTTAGGGTGTCTAGAGTATTCCTTCCACCTGTTTCTTTTTTCTCCATTGGCAAGCCCTTTGAACAATGTTCACATTTCATACTCATATTCATATCTTCCAAGCCACAGCTGCTTCATGGTGGTGGTGAAGCCTGGCCTGATGCTTCTAGCATGCTTTGAAGATCAGTTTCTTTTGACACTTGATATGATCTGACTCACATCCTGGTCTGGTCTGACTTACTGTAGTTTACACTCACATCCTATGCACAGAAATAGCACATATGGCTCAATCCCGCCATCTGGTCCCTGCCATTCTGAGGGACACAGCAGCTGGTGGGGAAGGACCGTGGGCTCCAAACAGCAGTGCCATGGACTACAGGCAAGGGTCCCAAGCCTTTGACCCTGGGAGTTGGGGCCACAGTTAGTGGCTGGAGTCACTCACCTGACACATTCACTATATTAACTACAAAGAATATATAGGGCCTTAAATCTGCTTCAACTTCAACAATTGTACACATCTCACGTGTGCTCAGACTGATGTCCTTCCGCCCAGCTAAGACCACAGCCCTGCCTTTGCTAGCAATTAAGGTCAGCATTGGCCAGTGCAGTGCTTACCAACTCACCCCACAGGCATTAAAAACATTCTGTGTTGACTTTGTTGGTAGGTGTCTGACTCCCTTGCAAAGGCCTCTAAGCGAGGAAAGGCAGTGCTGGTGTATCATCCTCGCTCTCCGCTTTCCCTCTTGGAATTGAGAGGTTTAACCCTCAACAAGCCTTGTGACTGACTCCCTTATGTACGAAGGGGCCCGCTTGAAGTATGTATGTAATAATGTAACAGCCATGGTGTGCTAAACCCTCGCTGTATGTCACTACAAACATCGCTAGTCATTTAAGATTTGCTGTCTAATTTTAACCTGACCATAACCATGAAAAGACAGAACCTTGTTTTTATTTCTAGTATGTTATCATTCTGGCCCCAGGACTGTTTGCTTCCTAGACTACTGTTTATTCCATGCAAAACCTAAACATCAGGTAGGGTTTATTTCTGGACTCAGCATGAAAACCAGCCACTAGGGACAAACCTCTTCAAGTCTGGCTACAGCCATAGTGTCTGAGCAAAACATGGAGGAAAATTGTAATGTGGCAGTCAAGTGCCTCTCCCATGTCTGTAGCACAATGGCATTGAGGTGTTGTTTTAGCTGCATCTAACTATTCCTGTGGACACCTGAGACAGGTTTGCCTAGACTCTAAAGACCTGATTATGGCCACAAAAATAAAACAGTTTTTTTCCTTCCAAAAATTAAAAAAAAAAAAAAATCCAGACATAGTGATTCATGTCAATAATCCTAGCACTTGATAGCCTGAGACAGGAGGACTTAGCAAAGGTGACCTAGGTTCAGAGGTAACCTATGATACATAGTGAGTTTGGAACCAGCCTGGGCTACACAGTGAGACCTTGTCTCAAACAACAAAGTAAAGTTTAAACCTTTGACTAGACAGGGTGGCTCACACCTATAATCCAAGTACTCAGGAAACAGGAGTTTGAGGCAGGTTAGCCTGCACTACAGAATAAGACCCTGTCTCAAAATAGACTAAAACAAAACAACAGCAAAATGCAAAGAAGTCTGAAGGGAAAACAGCCTCTTGGCTTGACTCTTCTAGGAATTCTACTTGCTCTCCCAGGACTCACACCTCATCAAGTGAAAACTGAATTTCTTTCTCTAAAGAAAGCCCAGTCTGTTCATTAAAGCCAGTGACTACCAGAACTGGCAAGATAGTGAAAGGGCAGAAAAATGCCCTGCCACTAAAAGCAATACAGTGGTGGCATATGAGACAGGGACGATTTAACTGGCTTTCGATGACAGCGGCAAACCTCAGAACCCTTCATTAGCAACCTCATGTTAACTCAGATACCTCTGCGCATGGCATCTGAATATTGGCAAACCCTGTGAACAGGCAGTTTCAAGAGACCTGAGATCCTCAAACTTAATCACAAAAGAATTGCCGGAGCTGGGAAACGGGGCATGGAAGTCCAAGCCGTGATTAATAAGGGCACAGAAAAAAAAAATAGAAAAGACAAAAACAGACCATAATCAGGGAAGTGCAAACATACCCACTTGACAAGTTTTTTGAACTTTAAAGACAAAAGACCGGATTTTGATGGCTGCCCAGGAAAAGAGAAAGAACATTTAGAGATATCCAGATAAGAGTGACTTCCCCTCTTGGGTTTTAGGAAGGAGAAGAATTTAAGGGAAAATACACACATAAGCAAAGGAGGAGGAGTCTGTCCTAGAAGATGGAAAGGCCTGGAGCAAGGTGTTATACCCACAGCTTCTTACTTGGTCTTCACTGCAGTAGAAGCATTGTGGCCTTGGCCCAGCAGACCCCAAGACAGAGCAGGTGTGGGTGGCGTAGTCTCAGGCTGTGGATATAAGCCCCAGTTACGAGTTACAAGTGTAGGCTCAATACAGGGTTTTATTCAACAGATACTTACGTGAGCAAACAAAATGGACACAAGCATGCCTTGGTAGAATATATGTTACAGTGAGACAGACAAAAAGAAACAGGTAAATTGGCTACAGCTGGGAAACAAAGTAAATAAACTGTAATTAATATTAAAAAAAAAAAGAAACAGGTAAATTACTTGGTTCACTGCTATGAATAAGCATTGAGTACTGAGAGCGTGATACGACATTATGCTCAATGAGGAGCCAGTGAGATGGGCTGGCTGCTCTGAGAATTGTGCAGGCATCTGTGAGGACAGCCCTTTAGCCAAGACTTAAGTAGTGAAAAGGAGCTGGGCTTGCAGAGTTGGGGCAAGTCAAGACTACACATTTTGGCTGCCCACATTATTCGGATCTATCCCATGAAGTGCTTAGAGGATAGTCCAGAGCTTTTGCACAGGACCTATATTTGGTTCCCAGCACTCAGGTCTCACAACTGCCTGTAATTCCAGCTCAGGGGTATCTGACACCCTCTTGTGCCCTCTGCAGACACCTGCACACGTATTCATGCACATAAATAAAAATAAGTTATTTGAAAACGTTCAAATGTCATATATTCATTCATTGATTTAAAATGCTGCATATTCATTTTGTTCTGAGGTTGTTTCTGTAACAATCA